TGGTAGTCTGGCACCTTGCTGCTGCCTCTCTACAACCCCAGTGAGAGACTTGTCGTGCCCCTCGCTTAGGAACACTGAGGCAAAGAACTCGTTGAGGAGTTCAGCCTTGTCCCCCCTGTCCATCACCAATTGTTTCTGCCCATTTAGTAGGGGTCCTATTCCTCCCTGGGCCTTCCTTTTACTTCCTATATATCTAAAAAACAATTTCTTGTTGTCCTTTACTTGGGATGCCATCCTCAGCTCCATGGTAGCTTTGGCCCGTCTAACTGCCTCCCTACAAGCGCGAGCAGAGGAGGTATATTCGTCTTTGGTGATCTCTCCCTGTTTCCACTTTTTATGTGCTCCCCTTTTGGCCCTGTGTTTCTACACAGTGGGCATGTCTACACACAAAGTTTACTGCAGAGCTGCCTAATTAGCTCCACAGTGAATGTCTCCAGGTCTACACATGCACCCCTATTGGGGCACAGTAAACCAGTAAACATCACCATAGGCTAGTGCTTGTCAACAAGTGTTATTTATTGCCCCCTAATGCATGTGTAGACGCTGATGGGGCTGGCTTGAGGGATGAGGATGCTTCAGTGCAGAGGCTGCCTGCCGGCTAGCCCTGCACTGGAGCACCCTTGTGCCCCAGCCAGCCCCTCCGCAGCAGGTGAGGCTGGGTCAGAGCGGCCCTGTGCTGGTAGGCTCACCCCTGGAGCCCTCTGCCAGGCAGGGCTGCTCCAACCCAGCTCAGTGTGCTGCGGTCCCGGGAGCATGTGCATACATGGTGCCTGGGAGCAATAAACTCCGATACAAACTGCACCGGAGTTTATTTGGTCAAAATGTGAAGTAAATGACTCCATAGCAATCTCATTGTGTGTCTGCTCCCTTAATACAGATTGCCCACCTTTTGCACATGGATTCATGGCTTAGGTTACCCATGATCGACCAAATGCTTATTGTTAAATGAAAGAGCTGAAAAAGCCCAGGAGGGTCAGGGGTGTTCTTCACATTCCAGAAATTCAGAGGCAAGAGAGAGAGGATCATGCACTCAGCATGCATGATGGATAAGGAGAGAGGCTGGTGGGCAATGGGAAACAGATGAGCACCCCCAACCACAGCCAGGTTTGTGTGATCTCTGCCCAAAGCAGCAGGAGAAATGGGTGCATCTCCTACACCCTGGGAGACTGGAGAACAAAGACAGGAAAATGAATACTCAGCAGCTGGGTAAAAAACAAAGCCCAGAGGTCCTGTCTGGCCCAGGGCATTGAAGCAGACTAGTTTCCACGGCTCTGAGCACATAAGGGAACGATGTGGCAAGTATTGCCTTTCACTGCGCAGCCCAAATGATCATGTGCCCTTTTACAGCTGGGGGCAAACTTTGATGCAAGTCAGGGCTGAGGCTCAATCTCGCCCCACCATGGGTCTGTCTTGAGATGGCTCAGCCACTTGGCCATCAGCCTCCGTTGAGCTTGTGGGAGGATTGAAGAGAAACTTTGGAAGAGAGAAATACCTGTAAAGTGTGGGTTTAGACCCTGGAAAGTGAACTGAGGGAGCCTAAGAGATCCTGAGGAAACCAGAGCTGAGCCAGGTACTGACTTCAGGGCACTGCTGCTCTAAGAGAAGGGGATTAACATTTGCAGAGGTTGAAGAGCTAAAGGGCAAAAAGAAATTCCTGGAAAAATGAGTATGTTGCAAGAGTAAGGAGTCTGAGCTTTTCCAGGAATGAGGAGCCACCCTGAGACCAAGACAGAGGAAATCAGTATGAAATACAGAAGTTTAAGAGGAATGGCATGTGTCTGATTCTGCTCCATGTCCTGGAATGGGACTTAAAAAGGGAGCCAAACTATTCCCCTTCTGGAGTAACCTGAAAATCCCCTCCTGCCTCACAGCACATAAGCACTTTCCATGCGAGTGAATGCCTAGCACTGCAAGCAAAGCATGTGTTTCAATGCTTTGCTAGCTCCAGGCAAGCACCCGGCAGCATGGAGATATGAGCTCTGAGTCCTCCTTGAAAGCCCCTTTCCCAGTGCTTAGGCAATCTCATGCTTTCATCTAGCCCTCAAAGGTGTAATGTGTGGGTTCAGCACACTCTGGGCACGGAGGCTTTTGCATTTAGTCACTGTAACAAACCACGTCCCTTTAGATCCAGTAAATACAACGTGCCTCTCCCAGCGCTGCTGTTTGCTCGTCATGAAGAACGCAGCATAGACCCTGTCCTGCTCTCCAGACTGACGCCACAGGAGATTGCTCAGACCATCAGATACCAATTACTGGAAACATTTGTAAGTGTAATGACTGTGCGGTACCTGCAAGGGCTGGCTGGGGAGAGGGTGCAGAATGCATCAGTGGAGCATTGAGGATGAGAGCTAAAAGCTTCAGAAGTAAGCTCCCAGGCCGATAGCTGGGAGAAGGCATGTCCACAGCGGTCGTTCAGTGGCAGTGTGATCTAATGGGGAGGGCATGGATCTGGGATTCGGGAGATCTGGGTTCTCCCCCTTCGTTGCATGCAGCACTTCTCTGAAAAGGGGTGAGTTTCCCACCTTGCAAACAGTGGGAAACTCACCCACTGAGCTGCAGTCCTGGGACCCCCACGGCTCTGCAGTGCCCAGCCTACCCCTACTTGTGTCACGACTGCTTAGCCCCTCCCAAAAGCAGCCCGTATTTCTCCTAGCATCTTTCTCTGTTCTCTTCCAGCCAGAAATTACTGTGGAAAACCTGCCCACGTACTGGAGCCTGGGACGTCCCTTACTCATACTGTTCAGTGACAGCGATCTTGGCCCACGGGACAGGAATGAAATGCTGCGTTTGGGGAGGGGAAGCAACCGCGAGGCATTCCTCGCCTGCTGGCTTAACCTGTGAGAATGCTAAAACGTGTCGGCTTCTCCCCACAGCTGAGTTTATGGCTTCTGGGGGGTGGAGGGGTGGGAGGAGAAAGAGCAGACGGAGCAGTTCCTGAAAGCACTACCAGGCTAAAATTTTAACTATTTATTCAGTATGAAATCGCTGTGAATCACAATGCCAAGTTTTTTTACAGAAATGCACACCTTTAATGGAGGTGCATTCCCTACAACAGCAAGGTAGCCCCACACAGAGCCACTTGCTAGTCAAAGATGATGCATGGTCCCGGTGTTCGTTTTCATCCAGGAAAGATGCTTGTGAAGGATGCCACCATTGACTGCTTGCTTAAAGGGAAAGAACCGGTTGTCAGGAGGGGGAGGCAAAAGAGGAAAGATAAGAAAGAAACAAATCAGCAGAGCAAGGAGAATGGCCAAGGCATCAAGAGTTATGGGAAGGTGAATTATCAGGGTTCCCAAATGAACACGTTTTAGCGTTGTTTAGTCTATTCTTTTGCTTCTCCTTGACCACCTCGATGAGTGAATCACCACATACTTTTTACGTGAGGAGCTGTGCTATGATGGGGGCAGTAAATTAACTAATGAGGAATGCACTTTTTTTTTAAAGAGAGAAAGCAGTTGCTTTCCTGTTATTTTGCACTGTAGGAAACCCACCTGAAGGTGTGGGCCTCTCCTGACTCCCTGCCCCACTTTCCTTTGGGAAGAAGGAAAAATGGAGTCTTTGAAGGAAGGGGGAAAAACTCAGGCCACTTATAGGGAGAAGATGCCTGTTTGCTCTGAACTCAGTTAACCAAGCAAGGTAAAATTCACTTCCATGCACAGAGCCAGCAAAGGCCTGGGCACCATCTGAATACAGCTCACGTGATTCACATGCCTGCTGTGGGCCCTCTTCACGGGGGCGAATGAAACCCAGAGCAAGGGGCAGGGTGAGGGGTACAACCCACTTGGGTTGATTCAGCTCCAGTGGCCTGCACACCGGGCCACACAGCCATCCTGTTAAACAGGCCCAGTCGACCTCCTGCAGCGCAGCATTGAAGCATCTGTAGAAGCACAGGAATTCCCCCGCCAGCTTCAGCGGGACCGTTCATCTGCTCAGACACCTGTTTAAGTGCTTTGGACCAGGCCACGGGGCTCATTTGTCTGTCACTGTGGAACTGCTAATGAACAAGTGCAATCAATTCTTTCCCACAGCCAGAGGACTCCAGTTGGCCGGGGGATCCTGAAGGCCTACTTCAGCACCCCGCCGCCTTTGCCTCTTCTTGCCTGGGTGAACCTTCACGCCGGGGGCGAGGTATTTGCATTCCCTCCAGACCAGCCTATCACCCAGAGTAATGTCTTGTCTTGGCTCGAGAAGTGCAGAGCAGGGCTTCAGCTTCCCAGCAGTAAGTGCACGGGTTCCCGTCCCATTCCCTGGCATGCCCTCGCGGCCCCAGCGTCTGTTTATGTGAAGCTGCTCGTTGCAGTAAT